ATTCCCCGCGGTTGCTACAGCTACGGCCACCGCAGCTCGATTGAGTTGCATGTGAGCTTGAACAAGATCATTCGTTGCTAGAGCTGCCAAGAGGGATATCTCCCCTGCTAAGACCACCCCGGCAATCAGACGTGCCAAGTGTTCAGAAGGTCGTTCAACTTGAAGATCAAGCATATCCAAGCACCCGCGTTGAGCTGGTAAACGGGTTCCACCCCCCACTGTGCCCACTTCGATACAGGGCATTGTAACACTAACATAGAGACTACCATCTGGTTCCGCTTCCAGCTGGGTCATACAGGCACTTGAATCCACGACCTGCAAACAAAGGAAACACAGTTCAGATGCCAATGCTTCAATTAGTTCCCTTGTGCTTTCCATTTAACTTGGAACTTCATATACTTATGATGGTATTTAAGCATTCATAATACATTCAGATATCTAACGTTCATCCAATTGTAAGGTGACTCTTAACCGCAACTTGCCTGCAATCAATATGAAATCGAAGTAAATAGGGGGGATACATGGAACGAAAGTGATCGAATATTAATAGAGTAAGGGGTGTGTGATAGACTTACCTCCACGTGGTGCACCGTGGGCAACGTATACTCATACGGCAAAAAAGTCTATTAATCATTAGTTGACTTCTGACTTAAAACTGCCATTACCCCACTGTATGTCATATTCCACCACTTTCACAGTACTCATCTTACCTTTTCTCTGTCTTTGTGTCTGTCTGGCTCTTTTTGTCATATTCCACCACTTTCACAGTACTCATCTTACCTTTTATCCACCCCCTCTCGTCGTTTTGGCACTTTGATGTCCCTTCCCATCTGTGAAGCCTGAAGTCAACTAAAGGGCTAATGATAACTATTAAAACGCCTGCCATTTGTTATAAATAAATAAATATTAATAGGGAAATTTTAACTCCATTTAGATGGAATTTAAAAATTTCCAATAACAGTTTTCCTATTAGTTAGCAGACACAAATCTGCACAACAATAATAAACCTTCAACCCAAATTAAGCATACAACTTCGCGGATATTATAAGTGGACAGGACCCAATAAGATTGGTACTAGAGGCGATTGTGAAACAGGGTTGAATTTGAAATCCATTCGTGCAAGTGGACTATATTGGTGACTAAGACAAGGCCGCCATCCACTGGAAGCCGTTGAATCATTACATAACCAGTAGCGTAAACAGTTGCCTACACGACAATTCCCCAGTCGACGCATTCTCCTGAAATTATGCAGGAGGGGATAAATGAAACTACCTTCTAGTTGGTATGGCACATTCGCCAATAAGATTTCCTTATAAGAACCAATTCCAAGGCTACTCTACGAGATAAAAGACGAAGAGGAAACAGGTGGCACAGAAAAATACGCAAGTCCAAATTGTTCTCACGGCAATTATCAAAGTACCAAACAAATATTTTAGGCTACAGTTGACTCCCAATCGAAAAGCCAAAGAGGAGACAGAAGTGTTTTCTTTCCAAGGCACTTATTTTGAAAATAATTCACATCTTTAAAATACGTCGAAAGTCGAGTCAATCAACACCATATAG